CCATGTGGTCACCTCTGGGGCAGGCGGGAATCTAACTCATGCGGAAGTGGCTTTAGCTTCTCAGTGCAGTGCTTTAACCCACTGCACCACCAGGGAGAGCCGAGAAATCTTTCATGATACAAAAATTGCTAGCCCCCTCCCCCACATGTAAAACCCTTCAATATCTTACCTCTTAAGTCTTGTTTTCTTTCTTATTTTATGCTTTAGCACCATTCTGAACTTGAAAAAAAAAAATTCTCCCTCTCGCTCAGAACAGTTTTACAGATGATTTTCCCCTCCAGAATTCCTTTCACACTGGATATGTCTTTGTCCCTTGGCCTTAGTTTACAAACCTCCTCCTAGGGAGGCAGCCTCTGAATATTTACACTTTCTTAGACACCTGTGTTGTTTTTCAATCTTTCTCTCCCCCCCCACCACCCCAGTGCCATTCATTATCCACTTAATTTCCTAATGCCCAACTTCCCCACTAGACATTAAGCTATATGATGGTATGAGAGTATGGACAGTGGTTCCCATTATTCACCGATTCTGCACATTCATGGTCATTCTTAGATGTGCGCAGAGTGGTGAGGAAGCTGGGTTCCTCAACATGCACCTTCTGAGACAAGGCCACATTCTACCTTCTTCTTTCAACTGTTGTATTCTAGACAAGGGTCCATCTTATGATCTGCTTATGGGTTTTGTTGATGATTTCACTTTTAAAATGGCCTCCAGGCATAGCACTGAGTAGCTCCCTAGTGTTCCTTAGTGCCAGAAGCCTCTGATGTGCCTTGTAGGAAAAATACAGGTGTGGTGGTAGCATCATTCAGGCATGAGTCATTTTGTGCCACTCCGGAGTTCAATGTTACTGAGTTAATACTGTATGAAACAATATGTCTGTGAAAATGTGCTGATTACTAGAGGGGGAGGTGCAGGGGACTCAGGGGCAACGTGGTAGTGAATTGGCCCTGGACTTCGCTGTAGGTAAGTGCAGCATGTATACAGTTTAAATGCAAAGCTGTACTTGTAGACTTATGTAATTTTGGAAACAAGTGGAAGATTCATCAAATTTGATTAAAAACTAAGACTAAATAAAAAAAAAAGATGTCTTTAAACAGAAACATAAAGCAAGGTTATATCTTGTGGTCAGTTCACAAAAATGTGACCAGTGGAACCTAACCCAGTTTTTCCCACAGGCGCAGTGATTCAGTAATCACTTACTCAGTTTTTCTGATGACTTTCTAGAACACACTCCTGCACATAATAAACCTGTATTTTGTTTCTACTTCTAAAACATCATTTATTCCAGTGACTTCCACACAATACTATTGAGTAAATATTTGTTGAAAATGATATATTTTTATACATACATAGAAATTATGATATAAAAATGAAACGTGTATTTATTTTTCATGCCAAAGGTATAAACCTCACAACCCTGTCATTTCTTTCTGCCTTTAAAAAAAAAGTAAAGATTTATTTTTGACATGATCTTTATTTTTATTGTTATCCAGGATGCTGGAGAAATGGTCCGCTCCTTTGTTGGTGGTTTGGAACTTGTTGTCAATTTACTGAAATCAGATAATAAGGAAGTTCTGGCAAGTGTGTGTGCTGCTATTACCAATATCGCAAAAGATCAAGAAAATTTAGCTGTTATTACAGATCATGGAGTAGTCCCCTTATTGTCCAAACTAGCAAATACAGTAAGTAGTACATCTCCTTAATTTCCTGTGCATATTGTCATGAGATGTCATGGTGTAGAGAGAAATAATAAACTTAAAGTCCGGAGATCTAGAGTCAAGTTTAATAGGCATGACATTTTAGTCAACTTATTTAATTTAATATATGTGGAAGAGTATTTTAATCTGCAAAATATTAATGTGTGAAAATAGAGGCTTTTTCATTTGTCACTGGCACATCAATTGGTGGCAGATATAAATACTGTTATGAAAGTACTTGGCCATCATCTTCATCACTCTAGTAATTATTATTTCCTTAAGATAATGTTCGTGCCAACTTTAGAAGTTAAATGTACCTCCTACAACTTAGGAAGCTTGGAGCTCTGGCATTTTTAAGCTAGAAGACCTTGGCATTCACTCTACTGTTGATTCACAACTGTGCCAGGTAGAATGAACAGCCAGAAGAGATAATGACTTCACCATAACCAGAGGTATTTGAGAAAGGCTTGGACTACCACTTGGCAGGAAAGTCATAAAGCAAAAATTCAACCATTGGATGGATGCTTGGTCTAGAAAAAATTTCAGGCCAGAAAAATGCTAAGTTTCTAAGAATATCTGCCAGATTTAGTCAAGGACATCAAGCTATGGCCTGAATCAAGAACCATAATTAACAAACAGAAAACTGTATATCCAAATATTTAGCTACATTATACCTATAGAAAGAAATTACATATAGAAAGGACATAGTCTGCTTAAAGTAATACAGGAAGGAAAGTGGCAGACTAAAAAGCAGCTTTATTTGCAAAAGTGTTTTCTCCTCCTAGCAAGTGCAAGTGGGATATGTGACTGAAAGTATTCCTAAGGATAAAGATACAGACTTAATTCACTGATCCCAGTAAATTGAAATGCTCCCTTAAGAATGTTCGATGTTCCTTAATTATTAGCATTACAATTTGAATTAATTATATTCCTTAATTATATGATCTGTAATTCTGGATTTGGGTGGATTTACACAAAAGGAACTCAAGCCTTGAGCACACACTGATGCTGAACCCCTATTGCCTTTTTTTTTTTTTTTAAGATTTATCTATGCTTACAGAACTGGGGTATAGGCTAGATATGTGGTGGGTGAGAGGATTCATCAGGGACAGAGTAGGGAGCAGAATAGGCAGATCGATGAAATACACTCTTGAGGGGGGCAGGGAGCAGGTCAGAAAAGGTCTGCCGCGCCATGTGGGTCAGCTCCCTCCCTGGCCAGGGATTGAACTCATGTTGCAATGGCTTCGGAAAGCTTCATAATGCCTGCTTTAACCCATTGTGCCACCACGGAGAGCCCAAACACCTATTGCCTTTGAAGGCGCTGGCGTTCAGTCCGTCAAAGGAAAACTCATGATGGGACCTTAAAGGACTGGTGACCTGTCACAATACTAGCTCCTTCCAGTCACCTCCTGAGTAGCCAGCTTGCCCATCTTTTTGACTCTCTCATCGTGGCAGGTAATAACTCTAGCATACGCCTGACATGCAACGCACATACACAGTCCTTTTCCTTTGTGTAGAATAACGATAAACTGAGGCGTCATCTGGCAGAAGCGATATCACGTTGCTGCATGTGGGGCAGGAATCGAGTGGCCTTTGGGGAGCACAAAGCTGTGGCCCCACTAGTGCGTTACCTGAAATCAACTGACATCAATGTGCATCGAACAACGGCTCAAGCCTTGTATCAGCTCTCAGAAGATGCCAATAACTGCATCACCATACACGAGAACGGTGCAGTAAAGGTACAGTTGATTGACTTCATGGCTTATTCCAAGTTAGGTAAAGGTAGGTTGTAAATTGACTTTAAGGATTGCTAGGATTTTTACCTAACGGGGGAGGTTATTTGGACATGAGTTTTGGGTCCGACTATGAGTGAACCATGTGTTATCACGGTTTCTGTTGCCTTTACATTATGTGGAGGTAGAATACTTCTAAATCATAGGTTACAAAATATACCCAGAAAAGAGAAAAATCATCCCATAGTTTGATTTTATTAAAGCTTGTAAAGTGTGTGAATAATCGGTGGCAGAATTCTATGTACTATTATTTACTGAGTATTGAAATGATCACTTATAGGCACCAATTAAATAGCCAAGGAAGTGACAGAGAGAAGCAGCAACTAAACTGTCACTTAATAGAAAGGCGCAGTTCCAAGTCACAGTTAAACAATCTGCACATCACTTTCTTTTTGCCTTTAACCAATATACAATGAAAAGTTTCTGAAAATAGATTTTGATATTTCTGCACGTTGGAAATACTTGAGCTTCTGAATAAAATATTTTGATAACAATAAGTAAATTTAAGAGTATAGGAACAGCTTACCTGTATTAGGAAAAAATTGATTAGAAATTGATTAAAAGCGAACCTCCCTGGTGGCGCAGCGGGTTAAAACACTGCACTGAGAAGCTAAAGCCACTTCCGCAGGAGTTCAATTCCCGCCTGCCCCGGAGGTGACCACACGGTGTGGCAGACCTCTCCTGACCCGCCCACTGCTCCCCTCAGCAGTGTACTTCGTCGATCTGCCTGTTCTGCTCCCCACTCTGTCTCTGGTGAAGCCTCTCGCCGCCTCTGAGCCTCTGGCCTGTACCCCAGTTCGGTGTATACAAATAAATACATCTTTAAAAAAAAAATTGATTAAAAGCTGTAGCTTGTTCCTTTGGACAAAATAATTGTCCTGAGGATTACCACTATTTGAAGCCTAGCTCCCCTGGTTGTATTCACCTTTTGAAATGAATGCCCAAAGCAGACTGGTCTTTTAGACAAGAATTTTTTTTTTTAATACAGTTAATCATATCTGTGCAAATTTGTATATATCAAAAAGAAACTCTCATAGGAGCAAAAAATACACTTAAATGTTAACATCATTTTTCAAAGTGATTATTTTAATTTGTTCTTCAGACCTATTCTGGTTGAAGAATATGATATTAATTTCTCTGAAATTATACCAAATTTACATCTAAATGTGTCAGCCTTTCCATTATAAATCTGTTTTTATAGCACATAAGTTAAATAAGTTTCTTCAAGCAAAAAGCTGGCATAAAAAGCAGCTTTTAAGCTAAGCACTAATTTTAAAAAGTAAATTATAAGAGATATTTTGGAATGTTAACTTCAAATTGCTCAAGAATGATAAAGATGCTGTCACTTCTATATGATAATGTTCACACTTCAAGAAAGAAGACATTTCTAACTTAAAATTACACATTCTATTATTACACAAGGACTTGCATCGCCTAATGTGTGATAAGTATAATTTTAAACAAAGCGAAGCTATAAAAATAAGTAGTCTGGGAAAGCATCTGACATCTAACATGTGCCTAGACCATTGTCAGTTTAAGGAGAGGATTTCTTTTGAAAATGTAGTGATTAATACTAATTTTTAATATTAAAATCAATAAAATATTAATACTATTACTTAATAAAATGTACCTGTTGTGCTTCAAAACACCAGGTGTATATACAACTCAATTACCTCTCCCAGTTCAAGTCAGTGGATAATCCAGAATTATTTATGAGCTGTATTCTGCTATGAAAGACACTGAAACGGTCTTCACCTGTCCACACAGCTTCTATGTATTAGAGGAAGAGGGCTCTGAAGTGATTAGGGTGTGAGGACAGGAAAGAGAAAAACAAAGAAAAATAGGTTTGGTAGCACTGTAAGCCCTTTCCAGGTCTCAGGAGGCTGTCTGCCTCACCCACGTGCTTTCCTACCTGGCATTGCGACTGGAGGTTACTGTGTCTTCTGGGACTTAGTTTTTGTGTTACCCTGAGTGATATGAGAGCCCTCCTGCCGGCTCTCCCTCTGGGGCGCTTTCCCTGCTCTGGTTTCCTTCAAGGAGGAAAGGATGGGTGGGGTATGCTGTAATAGCTTAGAATAAATGGTAGTTGCTTGGATATGAAGAATAAGGAAGGGGGAGTCCGAAATCTCCCAGATTCCACGTTAGATGAAGATTTGACCAGTCAAGGCGCTGCAAGAAGATATTCGATAGATTAGGTGGTTAAAATACCTACAGTGAATGTGTGACCTTGAGTAACTGCTAACACTTCTAACGCCAAATGCACATAAACTTGACTCATTCTTTTGACAAGTCCCTGCTGTCCTGGTTCTTAGTTGTTCCCACACTGTCCTAGTTGTGTGTGTGTGTGTGTGTGTGTGTGTGTGTGTGTGTGCCTGTGTGGTGTTGCTGCCCAGCCTGCAGGGTTTCTGCTGCAGCTGCCTGTGAGTGACAGGCATGGGGTCTTTGCCCATCACAAAGCCATCTTGTCACACTGTTCATAAGTCGTTTATTCTTGAGTTAGTTCTTTTGGCTGATACTTTCCTCGACAGCAGTCATTACCGTGAGACACTGTGACCATCTCATGCCAGCTGCTGTTTATTCTGTAATAACAGGGAAGGAGTAGGTATGGGGTCTGGAATAGGCTGGATTCAGTTTGAAGTTTGGGTCTAGAGCAGAGCTGTACAGTAGGAATATCATGTGGGACACCTTAATATTAAAATTTCTAGTAAAAATGTAAGCTAAAAATACAGACAGGCAAGATGAGTAGTCTATTTTATTTAACTCAATATATTCAAAATGTTATTTCAACACAAAACCAAGGTGGGAAATTACAAATGAGACATTTTACTTTATTTTGATTTATTAAGTTCAAAATCTCAATTTAGACCAGCCAGGGTTCATGGTCCACTAGTGGCTTGTAGTTTTATCATTGCACTGAGCAAGTTTAGAGACAGGAGCAGGGAAGATCCCAGAAGCAGCAGCGGAGATGTATTAAGGCACGAACAAGAGTGGATAATATGTTTTTGGCAGCAAGTTCAGAGAAGCCTGAGAAATGCCTACATTTTCACTCACTCACAGAGCATGTAAACTGGGGAGGAGAGCGGGAGCGGTCAAAGTATACCTGAGAAGTTAACAGATTAACCAGGAATTCTAGAAGCTGAAGTTTGGGCGCATTTTCAAGGGGATTGTATGTGACACTGCTAAGTGGTCAACAAGGATTTCCTGATTCAATTACATGGAAAAGAATACTATGCTAGGGCTTTCCAGGTAAGCCTGCTCTATATTAACCAACAGATCCTTGCTATGGCGAATATTATGTGATGAGAGTAACTCCTTAACTGCCTTATGGTTCCACACAGACCTCCTTCTCAAAGCATCAGCTCAGAGTCATAGCAACATTTTTTTTTAATAATGTAATAGTTTATTTTTACATCATTTTATGCCTTTTTCCATCTCAGTTGTAATCCCCTTGGGCTTCCCATCACCAAATCGCCCGTGTGCCATCACCACAGTCCCATGCACTCCTCTCTCCTCAATTTTGATCCCATTCCCCACTCCACCCCCGTAAAATATCTCTGGTATGTGTTGTTCATTATTTTTTCCCCCCCTGGCCCTTTATGCTCCTGCTATGAGTGAAGCTATCCGGTATTTTTCTTTTTCTTTCTGGCTTATTTCACTAAACACGATCCCTTCCAGCTCCATCCATGCAACATCTTTTTGAACATATTGCAAAGCAGTTGAGAGCTATATTGAAAATATGAGATGTCTAAGAGATGCATTAAAGTCACTTGGCAATTATAACAAAACCATGACATAGGAAAATAGTATCTGGAGGGGAAGAAGTGGCAGGGAAAACTGAAGCAGGCAAGTCCTTTCCTAAGAAAGAAAAAGATAAAATAGGAAGAGGATGGTGGCGCAGCGGGTTAAAGCACAGCACTAAGAAGCTAAAGCCACTTCAACATGAGTTCGATCCCCGCCTGCACCGGAGGTGACCACATGGTGTGGCAGACCTCTCCTGACCCGCCCGCTGCTCCCCTCGGCAGTGTACTTCGTTAACCTGCCTGTTCTGCTCCCGGCTCTGTCTCTGGTGAATCCTCTCACCCTCTGCATTTCTGGCTCATACCCCAGTTCTGTATGAATAAATAAATAAATCTTAAAACAAAATAGGAAGAAGATGACTATCTATAATAAACCCCCTTCCCCACAGTGACATTGAATTTGCTTTTCAAATATCTGCTTTAGGCAGGTGGAAGCTACGTGATGGTCACTTAGCTTTTTGGAAAGCAAGAGATCAGCGATATTGCAGAAAATATAGCCAACCCTAGGCTGAGAGTGCCAGAGTGAGGGAAGAGCAGTTCACATAGGGTGGAGCTGAAAGGGTTGTCTTGGTTGTCTCTGAGACTCCACGTTCGTGGCGGCATTCCAGAGATCCAGAAAACAGGGCAGATGAAACCAGAAGCAAACATGCCCCAACTCCGCTTCTGAAGTTGGCAGAGGGAAAGGAAAATATCACAGTGATTCTGAGTCAAATAGGTGTACTCAAGAGACCCAGAAACTCAGTGACTATATGCAATCTGCCTATATAATATTTGAGCAAACTATTTTTTTTTTCTATTCTGTATATTAGAATGGGCCTGAGGTCTTATTTTAAAACAACTTTTTGCTGATTTTATTTTTTTCTCCATTCATTTTTTTACTTTTGTAACTTTTGCTAGCTTTAGTTAGCAAATGAAGGAAATTGCACACTCAGCCATGTCGCCCTGTCACAGCAGGGTCAGTCGCCTGCTTCATATTTATTTAGCACTTTGTTTCTCCTTGACAGGAAGGCTTACGAAAATAAGAGTCAGTAGGCATGAGGAATTCTAAAGCAAGAGGAATGCTTTACATTCTTACAAGTTTAGTGTATATAAAAATTGATACAAGAATGGTCTTTAAAGTCAATTTTTTTTTAAGATTTTATTTATTAT